ATGAAGACATAGGGCATAAAATTAAGCGCACCTTATATTTTGGGAGGGGGGAGGGGGGGGGGGGTGCCTTTTAACTGGAGTAACATAATGCTGTTACCATTTTATACAGTATATTGTGATGCAGCGGAACTGCAAATTGATGTCATGCATAACTGCATAAGTTCTAATGTAATTTATCATTATCTACTGGTAAAAGGTAACGTACTCATATAAAAGTGTGTCATGTTGAAACTAAATCGGGGTAAGTCTGTTTCTCATCACTATCATAAGTCTGCACGTGACTTGTAGTGTTTGGCATTCTTACACTACTGGTCATACTGATTCCGTTATGGTACTGAATTATCATATCATATGTTCAGAAGAACTTGAGATCTTGACATAAAACTGCTACCAGTAATTTACTTTGTAAAAGAAACTAATGTTTGTTTTTCAATAGACAAGATTATTGTTCGCCTACCTCGGGGGCAAGATTCAATCACTCTGTATTCTGTCAAAGCATCCTGAACAGACGTAGTATTTGGACCAGCTCTAACTGTCAGACGCTCAGACTTGCCATCTTGTAATAAAACCTGCAAAAAGCAGACCTCCATAAAATAATACGACATCCGCTGATTTCTATCGTGGCACCCATGCCTTTTAAGATTATAACCTTTTAATTTTGACCAACAATGTCCCCAGCAATGTATAGGTTTCATTGTACAAAACTTGTACCATCAGATTTGTATTTCAAAGTACTTCTAAAAAAACACTCGACGCTCTGGGAATGAAACCTGAAGGCATTGCTTTTTAGGTCGAGGAAAGGTCCTGAACACTGGCTCCACCCACTATGGTGGCGCAATTGGTGATCTGACACGCATAGGGAACAAACTAAGCGAGGGGCCTTTTTTGTGAGAACCGGCCTGGTTGGCAGCCCCACACCTGGAGGTCTTACCACCATGTTAGATGCACGTTCTCTTGAAGTACTTCTCAGGTAGTCACGATTTTGCAGTTATTAAACAATCCAACAATATATCATACACGAAACTAATGGTCATCACAGTCACGCGAAGCTAAACCACACTTCATACAAATAAACGAAGGGATACAAATCACAATAATGATCAAGGTATTGGATGAACAAACGACGTAAGAAAGAACAAAGAGTTCTGAGCATGAGATGGATAAAATGACATGTGACTGAGGAATATCCAACTTTCGGATAGAGGAAATTGCCCCATACTCCTGTCATTTACTAAGGTCGCAATCTCCCACCTACAGTACACAATTCGGTAAATACCAAATGTGAAATTCTATAATTGAATCACCTGTCTACACTCAATTAGTTTTCTATTATTTTAAAGTAAAACAAATTTATATCTTAACTTATGGAGGAAAAAGAGGATGTGTCTTCTTGTTAAGTAAATATCTATTGTATCTGACTTGAACTCATTGTTTATTTCTGGCTACATCTCTTGTCAGTGAAGTTGCACGTTTCAAAACTATAAAGAATATTTTTGCTAAATAGAAACAGCAAAGGAACAACGCATATTCTACAAACCTTCGCAAGTGGAGCCGAAAGTAAACCCTTGGGATGTCTAGGTGTTCCCATAACAAGTGCAACATATTTTCGTTGCAATACTTGTTGAGTACCCTTCAACATAACATATATGAGTATCAAGATAAGTATATAATATGGTGCGGAATTCAATAGGAGCATTGAAAAACACAGTAGAAGTTACACTGAACTACTTACATCAGCTAAAGCATCAGCAGTTTTCTCACGAAAGATAGCATGCAAAATGGAAGCACTAAGTTGAGTTCTACCCAGAACAAGGACGCCGCTACAATCCCTATCAAGTCTGTGGACCTGAAAAGCAAATGAGGGCATCAGCAAACATGCAACTCTACGTATATCAACACAAACAAGTTGTTTATCCAAATATAGCAATACTACAAATGGAAAGAGATCTTGAATAATTATACAGAATATATTACTTATCGAAAGTATATAGTACAGTCTTAATTTACATGAATGTAAACATGAATTACCAACAGAGACTTACAAGTTCTAGTTTGAATCAGAATACAATGTTCACTGAATTGAGATAGGTCTACCTTGACAAATACAAATTCAATCTTGTGCTCCTCTCAAAAAAAAGTTTAGTAGCACAACACTACCCTAATCATTATCTTCTCAGAATGCTTAGGGTATGCCTTTATCCTAATTATTACGCTCACATCAATGACAGGCGATTCTATACTCCCTCAGGAAGTACTTTTTTTCCCAAACGAAGGAGATACAACAGGCAAAACTTCCATGCTTACAGCCTTTGCTACAAGTGAGAAACAACTGAACTGTACCGAACTCACCAGGCGAGGTGCATCAGAAGAATTTTCTTCAAACATCGGGGCAAGCACATCTATACTGTTTTTTATGCCAACACCACCCTCCAAATAGAGAAACAAGAAAACCTTTATTATGCACTGTAAAATCTTATGAGAAATCAGGCAAAAACTAAGCCTGCATAAATTCACCTACTTGAACCGGCATTCCAGGGGGTTTGTTGACCACAATGATGGCTTTA